CAACCAAAAACTAAAATTAAATAAGTGTGTCAGTGTCTGTATTCAGGAATTTCCTAACAATATGGCATGTATTCAATATACTGGCCTTCTGTAGTGTGATGTATGTATTTCTATTCAATTGTAATGCTCCCTGGCTTTTGTGTAGTGTGTGTTGTATCACACCTGTACAGGAGAGAATGACAGGTACAATAAGCACCCTTTTCATCTTCCACAGATGCCTTATTTCCTGGGTGAGCTCTGAGTACAGTGGAATTCCGGTTAACGAACGTCCTGGTTAACGACCAAATCAGTTAACAAACTTTTATTTTGCAAAAATTTTGTCTCGGATAACGAACTTAACAGCTTTTTGTGTCAAATTTGTAAGCTTGCTTTCATGAAACTTTCTGAACCACTTACGGCATGTGGAATCATCAATGGCTCTCTCATCATACACAGAACATATCTTTTTTTGTGTCTGCAGAGCATTCTTGCCTTTTTGGAAATAAAAAAGCATAATATGTCGAAAATGCTCCTTATTTTCTGCCATTTGTAATGCTTAACAAAATTTTAAAAACACAACTAAGTAACACAACTTTATTCTCAAATACTAGCTGAGATCCCTTTTGTCAAACAACATCGAAATTTTACACATGTGAAGGAAATAACACTTCAGTGTTGCGTTTTTAGCCAGCTGGTGCTAAAAACGGGATGAACTTTTGCATCAACCCAATAGTTTCCAGCCGTTCTGGAACCTCACAAATTTCAGTTGCTCTTAGGCGTGCGCGAGGTAAGCATTGCTTTTTCGAGTGTGCTAAACTTCGTTTTTTAGTTTTGTTATTTATACTGTATATTTAATCAATATGGCACCGAAGAAAGAGAAAAGTGACAGTGGAAATAGAAAACGTTTTAGTGTAGCATTAAAGAAAGAAATTATTGCAAAATACGAGAATGGCATTCGTGTTTCTGACATCGCTAAAGAATATAATGTGGCAAAATCGACTATCTCTACAATTATTAAAAACAAAAAAGCATTTAAGGCTGCCGAAGTGGCTAAAGGAGTGAATGTGATATCGAAACAAAGATCTAAAGTTTTAGATGAAGTTGAAAAACTGTTGCTAATATGGATCAATGAAAAGCAACTTGCTGGAGACAGTGTTAGTGAAGCTATAATTTGTGAAAAGGCTAAAAATTTATACAATGACTTGTTGACCCAGACACCCAGTACAAGTGCAGACAGGCAGGACTTTAAAGCGAGCCGAGGGTGGTTTGATAGGTTTCGTCGACGAACTGGCATTCACAGTGTCATAAGACACGGGGAGGCTTCAAGTTCAGATGAAAAAGCAGCAAAAGCATTTGTAGATGAATTCGCAGAGTTTGTAAAAAGTGAAGGATACGTCTGGAATCAAGTGTTTAATTGCGATGAGACCGGTCTTTTTTGGAAAAGAATGCCTAGACGAACGTACATAACCCAAGAAGAGAAAGCACTTCCCGGGCACAAGCCCATGAAGGACAGACTCACTCTTTTATTTTGCGCTAATGCAAGTGGTGACCTCAAAATCAAGCCACTTTTAGTCTACAACGCTGAAAATCCCCGTGCCTTTAAGAGCAAAAATGTGATAAAGTCCAAACTGCCTGTACAATGGAAGGCAAATAGTAAGGCATGGGTAACTCGGACTTTATTCATGGATTGGCTCACAGAAGTGTTTGCTCCTACTGTTAAAAATTATCTTCAGGAAATGGATCTTCCTCTTAGATGTCTTCTCTTAATGGATAATGCTCCAGCACATCCACCAAATTTGGAGGATGACTTGGATAGTGAACATGACTTCATCAAGGTCAAATTCCTTCCACCCAACACAACTCCATTACTGCAACCAATGGATCAGCAAGTGATTTCCAATTTTAAAAAGCTGTATACCAAGGCACTGTTTACCATGTGTTTTCAGGTTACCAATGATACCGACTTAACTCTTAGAGCTTTTTGGAAGGAGCATTTTAACATCCTGCATTGTATCAACCTTATTGACAAAGCCTGGAGTGAGGTCTCTCACCACACTTTGCCACTGGCCTGGAGGAAACTTTGGCCAACTTGTGTCCCAGAGCGAAACTTTCTGGAATTTGAAGAAGAGAGCTCTCCTGATGTAGTGCATGAAATCGTGTCCATTGGCAAGAGTTTGAGAGTAGAGGTAGATGATGCAGACGTGGAGGAGTTGCTGAAAGACCATCAAAATGAACTAATGACAGAAGAGCTGGTTGCCATGCAGTAAGAACAGATGAAAGTCTTACAAGAAAAGCATTCGTCAAAGGAAGAGACTAGGGAAGAAATCACCAGTGCTGAGATCAAGGAAATTTGCAGAAAATGGAATGATGTGCAGGAATTTATTGAGAAGAACTATCCTAACAAAGCTGTGGCTAATAGGGTCATTAATTTAATGAACAACACTGTGCTAGTGCATTTTAGAAAAATTTTGATTAAGAGAGTAAGACAATCAACTTTAGACCACTTTCTTGTTCCTTATCAAAAGAGACCTCGACTCGAAGAAACTCCTGATGCAGTGCTACCCGAATTAGATACCGGGTTAGATATGAAAACAGTAATTATTGCAAATGTTGTAACTGTAACCTTTAAATTAAGATTAAGGTATTTCTTTCAATTTTTATTTACTCATCAATTAAATCCTGCTGCAAGATGATCAACCCTGGCCTTGAAAAATCCTCATAGGATATGTATAAGGCATGATCAAAAAGTTTCCCGTTCGAAGGATGTACAGTCCACATTTGGTATGCCAGTCATGCAAAAGCGCCATGACCATTTAGGCAAGCATCCCACTGCTTCACCAGATTGAATATACCCTGTTGGTAAAACTCCTGTTTCTGTTGCTTGAAGAAGTCTGAAACTGCCTGCTACACTTCTATGTCTGACTGGAACCATCGACCTTTTAAGGACTTCTTTAAGGGACTGAAGGTGTGAAAATTGCACGGGGAGAGATCAGGAATGTAAGGCGGGTGCTCGAATGTCTCCTACTTTAGAGCACATAACTTCTACGTTACGACATATGGGGATGTGCGTTATCATGAAGCAGAATTACCCCATTTTGCAGTTTTCCTGGACATTTCACCTTAATTGCACGTCAAAATCTCTCCAGCATTTCGCAGTACCCCAGTGATGGAGACACCTGGTTCCTTGAAATCAATAAGCAATGGGTCCTGGTGATCGAAGAACAGGGTAAGCATCACTTTTCCAGCAGATGAATGGCTCTTGAACTTCTTGGGATGAAGGATGACACCACTGCATGGTCGCTGCTTTTGACTCAGGTTTCCAGTGGTGGCACCAGCTTTCGTCACCAGCAACAATGTGCTCAAAGAACGTGTTGCCTTCAACATTGAAACGCATCAGGTGCTTCAGGGAAACAGCCATCCGGTTTGATTGTTGTTTGGAATTTAATGCCCGGGGTATCCACTGGCTGCAGACTTTATGGTAGCCTAACTTTGGCTGGATTATGTGTTGCACACTACTGAAGCTTATGTCAAGATCCTTTGAAAGCTCACGTTTGGATATGCGATGATTCGCCCTAATCGCATCATCAGCTGCCCACTTGTTGTTGTCTGTATTGGATATGGCTGGCCTTCCAGATTGACCTGCATCTTGGGTCGAATTGCAACCAGCTCTGAACTTTGTGCATCATTCCACTATGGTGGTTTTCGATAGGCATTCTTCTCCATACACATTCTTTATTCTCTGTTGAATGTCTACTGGTGTGTTTCCTTCAGCAGCCAAAAAAAGAATCACAGCACATTGGTCCTGTTTGGATGCATGTGGTATTAACATTGCCATTGTTCATGTTTCAGCATTTTTCACACAATAATCCCACGCCTCGCTGTCAGTGCTTATATAACCCACATTGGCAATGCGCTAATTTGCATATATGCTGCAGCCATGTCCTTAAACGGAAAGTTTTTGATCGTCCCTTATACATTTTAAAAATAAGGTTTAATTGATGGTTTATTACATTAAATCCCCCAAGTGTTTAATTGAGGAAATACAGTAAATATTATATCAGAAATGGTCTACAAAACTTACCAGATGTTTTCGTTAAAATATGTTTTTAAAAATGATTTTTTTGCATTGTTTTATTATTATTTTTTCATTTGCATTATAATTTTGTATTATTCTATCTTTTTACTTTAAAAACAAAATAAAGTTTGTTAAAATAATAACATTTAAATATTATATTTTATAGCAAGGACAAACTCCATTATCTATTGCACAGCGTTTGGGTTATATATCTGTAGTGGAAACTTTAAAAGTTGTAACAGAAACAGTCGTTACTACGACAACGACGACGGTGATTGAAGAGAAGTATAAAGTAGTTGCTCCAGAAACAATGCAAGAAACTTTCATGAGTGATTCGGAAGATGATGGCGGTAAGATTGAAATTATTTTCTAATCGAATTGAATCTACATATTAATATCTTTTTTCTATTATGTGTAATAGTTAAGTTAAATGGATATTTTCTACAATTCCAAATCATAATCAAAGTCAAAATTATTTAATCTGTTTGATGGAATTTAATTATCTCAAACAATTTTTCTAATGTGATCTGTTAAAAAATTTTGTCATGATATTTATAAATTATAATATATTATTTAATTAATTTTTTTATTTTTAAAAATATTTTAGAGGTCAACTGTTTTTATTACTTAACTTTTAAAGTTTTATCTTTATTTTTCCCATACAATATTTTGAAAATTAATTGAAACAATATTGATAAATAAAAATGATGATAATTTTTGTTTTGATTTTTTCATTTTTCCTTCTACTCACTCTTCCTCACTAATTTCACACTTCCAATCATTCTTTATTATGTATAATTCTATAGCTTGTTACTACTACATGATCATTATTTTTATAATACTGTATTTTAATTTTGTAATTTTATTAATATTTGTATTAATATACTATATGAGCATTATTTTAATGTATGTATTTTCAGGAGAAGAAACAATGCTTGGTGACCAGTCATACAGGTATTTAACTGCTGATGAAATGAAGTCCCTAGGTGATGACTCTCTACCAATTGATGTAACCAAAGATGAAAGACCAACAGAGTCCATGATGTTAATGAAAGAATCATCAGCAGGTAATATAAAAATTAAATTGAGTTTTAAATTAATCCAGAAATAAAATAGTTGATAAATTAACGAGCTTCATATAAATTTGTTTCTTTTATAATTTATATTATAATAATATGCACAGAATCTCAATTAGCTAATATTGTATCTGTATTGTGTTTTGCTATTATTATTTTCAATTTTTCGGAGTGTATGTATATTTATATACATTGTCTAACCATCTCAAATACTGTATATATAAATACTACTAAATAATAATAATAAATAAGTATCTCTATTTGGAGCTCTTGGTTGCTTGAAGGAATAATCCAAATGAAACCAAATTGGTAAACTTAATATATAAGAAAGGGGAAGAAGAATGGAACAAGAAAAAAAATTGCCAATTGAGGGCATTGTGGGGCCTGTCACTTCAATTGCTGTTGTAATCAAATGTGTACCATGGAGGTATCTCAAACCCAAGTGCTTTAAAAGATAGCATATCACAACATGTGCATAGCATCACTCCTGATGCATTACATTCTCTAGTTGAGCACGCTGTGCACCACCTGGAATATGGGTATGTACTGTACCATAGGTTTAGCACAATGGACATACCAGTATTATGGAACCTGAACTGGATCGTCAATGCCATGTGACAGCATAATTACATTAACTGTGACATTTTCCAATAAATACCGGTCAACAGAGCAGGGAACTGCATAAACTACAAGGATAACAACACAATATCATATGCCTGGCAATATGCATATGAGAAGGATCCCCAATAATGTTGGCATCTTATTCATGGAATTCAGGCGAAAAAATTAATGAGAGGATGCTGGGCCTATATAATGGAGAATGACATAACTAGCCAAATATTTGGTATTAAATAATTCGAACACTTGAATTAATTGGCAGTTTAAAAATTTGAACTCTGGGCATTCCAAAGTTAGAACAACATCGAACCTGAAGTAGATCTTGATAGCGATTCGAAAATGTTTGTTCTTGCATCTAAATATAGTATCTTACTGGAAATAAAAAGGTTCTGAAAGGATTAGTTACAAGTTCCAGTATTCAAATAGTGTAAATACTAGTATGCCAGCTTATGCACCTTAATTCTTTCTTCTTGTATTACACATTACATTTCAATCCTTACAGCACTCTCTATCGACAATTCTTTTTTCTTGTTACATTCTTCTTTCTTCTTAAGTAGTAGGTGTACCAATTTTGGTTTTATTTGAGTTATTCTTTCAAGCTACTGACAGCTCCAAATAGAGATACTTATTTTATAACCATCCAGTATATATACCGTATTTACTTTCACATAAGATGAGATTTTTATTCATTTTCCACTGCTTCAAAAACCTAGGTTCTATATGCGTGAGCAAAGAATTCTTTGCATTTTTGCAATCATTTTTGTGAACCGTGTATTCGAATTTTTTACCAGATGCTTACCCTCTGGTTTTTATCTGGGTCGTTTAATCGTTCTTGTGTATTGTCAGGAGTGAAGGTGAATAGCAATAGGAAAAGCAAAGCTTTTGAATTGAATTCTGAATTGAAACTGTAAAATCACATGGGAGCCCAATAAAAGTTTTAATCCATTTCCATGTGAAAACAGATGATTATTTGGAAATCAGAATTCAGAGAAACTCATAAATGCAATCGACCAAGAGTGGATTCGACTGTTAAGAATTGGCAAAAAAGGTTCCCGATTGTCCAGCATTACATGAACAAATTATGTTGTCGATTTTACAAGATTTTTCCATGCCAGTAATTTTTGCAGGACAATGTGTGCGTTTATGTGCATTTGATATTTTCTTTGTGATTAAATGAAATAAAATTAAAACTGTATTAATATATCTAATTTTCTTTATTATGATGTTTAAAGTCACACCTTGTCCTATATGCGAGATCGTCTTATACGCGAGTAAATACAGTATATTATTAAAAATTTTTATTTTGGCTTTAATTCTTGAGATGGAAACTATGTTTTTAAAAGAATAAATGAATTTTTCATATCAAAAAAAGGAATAGTGACAAAATATGTAATTTTCTTTATTATGATGTTTAAAGTCACACCTTGTCCTATATGTGAGATCGTCTTATACGCGAGTAAATACAGTATATTATTAAAAATTTTTATTTTGGCTTTAATTCTTGAGATGGAAACTATGTTTTTAAAAGAATAAATGAATTTTTCATATCAAAAAAAGGAATAGTGACAAAATATGATATATTATTGATAAAGCTAATTAATATGGCTAATTTTTGCATGTAATTCTTTTAATAAGAATCATATCAATACAAACAATAACAACCTGACTTAAGCTATAATAGACTTAATTAAGATCTTTAGAAATTATAAATTACAGAATTTTAAATATGTATTTTGATTTTATTTGCTAAAAGTTTTTATTGCTACAAAATTAATAGATTTGTTCACTCTATTTAAAGTTTGTGCATTGTAAGTTAATGTTTTAATTAGCCATGCTTATTTCTTATAAAAAAAACTAAAACAAAAATCTTTTTTGTTTTTAAATTTCAACCTAAATGTTCTCATAAATTAATAAAACTAAATTCTCTAACTTTTTTTATTAATACGTACAACTGGAAAATGGACTCTCTTAGTGTGCCCACAGATCAGAAAGAGTTATATACAGTTGAACCTGTCTATCCTGAATTTCAGTGAAATGAAGAAGAAAATTCAAGATAGACAGGTTTTGAGATATAAAGATTCCTACATAGTAAACAGTAATAGGTTTGATTAGAGGTATAGTATTGTATTAATACCATACCATACCTCCAATCAAACCTATTGCCAATCAAACCATTGAGTACAAATAAAACATTTTTGGCATATCTTAACAGAAATAGTTTGTCAATAGTTTCTTTGATCAACAAGACACAAATCAAACTTGTAGCCAATCAGAGAAAAGCATTGTTAGTTGCAATCAAGTACTGTATCGCAAGAGTTGTTCTTGACTACAATTTATTCTACTCAAATGTAGTCGCTGAGCTTTGAATTTGCAATTGACACTTTGATCCATAATTTGAGATATAGAGGTGTAGGAGAAAATTATTTGAGATAAACATGGAAAATATATTCAATTTAGGCTGAAAATGCAGGGAAAAAATACATTTTGAGATAAACATGTTTGAGATAGACATGTTCAACTATATATACATATAAAGGTGGCAATGTTGAAAAATACAGCAGAAAGACATTTTTATTTCAACAAAAGCTTTATTTTTTTAAGATATTTATAATTTATGAATATATACAGTACTTTTATGTATATAAACAATCACTTGATTTTTTAAATAATGCCGAATAACTTATAGTTTGGCATATGCTTTTATTGTTTTGAAGAACTTTTATTAGATGCAAATGTCTATGAAAATTTTTATTTTTCAAGACAAAGACAAAAAGCATTGTGATGCTATATTTTTTTAGAAACAAACAAGAATTTTGATTGTAATTTCTTGGATAGTGATAAATAACCATTTTGATTTTTATTTGTAAACTGCTTCACAGTGAAAATGTCACACCATGAAGATTTTATGTAGCATTATGTGAATTTAAGGGTTTTCAGACAAACAAGTTATGCAAATTCATTCAGTTTCATCCAATCACATAATCTGGTAAAATGATAAAGGGAAGACTAGTCTGTGAAAGCTAACTTCAGAGACATTGTCATGCCCACAAAAACTGCTTTGTGTTATTGCTTTTTGTATCTGGATAAAAATAAGGAGTAAAGCTGCCTCTAAGATGCAGTCAAGAGCTATTTCATCAATTGGATGTGTTTTAGTAAAAGTTTCATCATAGGGCTATATACAGCTTGATGGACTTTGTATCATATTATAGCAGAAACTCAATGGGATGCCACAATGATAGATTGTATTTGGAGACAATGGTCAACAGAATGAAATGTATATCATCATAGTGGGAATGGAGTATTGAGATGATCATCACAATACACGGATCCAACACATTTGGTGTCATGCAATAGCAGCTCCACAATCCACAGCTACTGACATTCTGTGGAGTGTATGGACAGATTTGGATGCCCCAGTATTGGTGACGACTGTTTTTCACACATAGGTTGACGTTAGTGTGAGATGTTAAGTTAGTTCGTAACAGGTTATGGACAAAGAATTAATACACCCAAAATACAAGAAGTAAATAAATACCACTGGCCAAGGTTTTAAATAATTTTAAAAAAATATAAAAACATTGTGATTATATTCACTTTCTTTCTGTCATTTACACCAGTGACAGTCCAAAATAGAATTCTTATATAATGAGGTTATGCCTCTGAAACATCTTGTAAATGGAAACAGCTTCCTCTGGTAAATTAGCCAATAGAGTAAATATTTTTTGTTTTTATATTAAAAAATAAAAAAATACAAGAAGTTTATTAAAAACAGTCAATTATTTATTGTGACATTGTCACAATGTTGGGCTGAAATTTTTAATCACATTTTAAATTTATTTAATTTAAAATATATGCTCTTGATCTCAAATTAGTAGTGTCTCGCCCCTATATATCATACTTTTCCTGACAACAGAGCCATGCCGATTACCTATGTAACTCCTTTCTGGGGAAAATTTTTGATATGAAATCATATGACTTCTGGTCTATACTAGAAGTTTGTACTTAGTTAACTGGGGCCTCCTACCCCAAAGCTTTCTGTATCTGATCTCGAATTCATCTATCTAACATTGTTCTCAAGATTAAGGAAGGACAGACAACAGTGGGAATTTATAGGTTTACAATTTCTTCAAATTGCAACCCAATTACCTTAAAAATAATTAATATTTCTTAAACTAGAGGATTAAATTTGACAAAAATCAACAAATTAATAAATCTAAATTGATAGGAAAAAAGTAGGTCATAAAATTGGATAACACAGAGCATTTGGTAAATTAATTGCATTTAGATGCAATAATGTGTATGATTTACTTTATTTTTAAGTTTAGCCTACTTAGTGTTGGTTCCAGCAGATAGATTTAATGTAAAAAAAAAACCAAAGTAACATTGTTGATCACTTTTGGAGATCTTTGTCAGGTTAATATACTGTTCCATAAATCAAATGTTATTTGAACAGTTTTTTAAAAAATGGAACATTCCATGCTTTTATTTGAACAGTGTTTTAGCCATTAATTATAATTATTAAATTTAATAAGAGATGGTACCTAATGCCTACCTCTAGTATTAAATTGGGTACTAGAGGTAGGACTTATGTAATACTTAATTATTAATAGTAGTGGTAAAGTAGCCCAAAAATCTAGCAATTGGGACACTAGTTATCTGTTTTGCTTTCAGAATAAAATCACTCTTTTTCTGCAGTTTCAGCAAAAAATTAGGTTTGGTTCAACAAGTTACAAATGTTAATTAAATATGTTGCTGGAGTTATACCAGATGTATTGCTTTTATTTGTTTTTGGCCATTTTACACTAGCCTTCCTTAGGTCTTAGCAAAAACAAATTGGGATTATTGATTCTTTCAATATTCCAATATTGTTTGCCAAAACTGTGAAAAAAGGTGTGATTGGTCTCTGAACTTCCCATTCCAGTCATGTATATGTAATTTTCATACCATTTTTCTTTTAAAATACAGTTGATTATTCTATTGTCTTGTATATGGATCATAAAAATAATAATAAAAAAAATACTATTTTTATGATCTCTATAACCATGGAATTTCAATTTTCATAAAATACTATTTCATTATTCATGTTTTTGTCATTCTTTTTATCTGAAGGTTAATTTATCATTCTCTCAACTAAAAATCCAAATTCTTGGCAAACGTTTTCAACCCTACCAGGGTTGAAAACGTTTGCCAAGAAGAATAACACTGGAGATTGACAGGTTTTTAGTTGAGAGAATTATATTACCTCCAGTATTAGAAGGGAAGTTCATTGGTTAATTTATCTTTGGATTCTGGAATAAAATTATAATTGCTATGGTAAAAGTGAAGTTGCTGTTGACTACAGATGGAATTAAATATTTTGGTTTTAAATTTTTTGATCCATATAAGTAATTGAAACTAGCAATTTAGTTGGAAGCAAGAAAATGAGTAATTGTCTTGATGCCGTATGCATCCAAATTGATTGGTCTACGTATGTTGATAGCCACAGTTATCAGCAGAATTTTTGCCTCAATTTTGAAATTGTTTGCCAATAATTAGTAATTCTGGAGACTTATTCAGTAACAATTATCAAGAAGCAGATGGGATTGTGATATGAAGCAATTGCATTGGTGAAGCAAAGGATGCTCAACTTTTGCATACTATAGTTAACTCATATAAAGTTTGTTAATTTAAAATAGTAATTTGTGACATTTTATTTTGTTGTGCAAATCAATGTTGTATGATACAAACATTTCTCTCTTCTAATATATTCATGAATATAGCATTGGTCAGATATCAATCACAAAATTGCAAGTAGTACGGTATTAACACAAATCTGCTAACTTTTTGAAAAGTAACTATACTTCTAATGTTCTGATTAAATGCAGTCTAGTGTGGTATATTAATGAAATTTAAAAAAATTATGTATAGATATCTATATTAGTGTTTATNAACTTTTGCATACTATAGTTAACTCATATAAAGTTTGTTAATTTAAAATAGTAATTTGTGACATTTTATTTTGTTGTGCAAATCAATGTTGTATGATACAAACATTTCTCTCTTCTAATATATTCATGAATATAGCATTGGTCAGATATCAATCACAAAATTGCAAGTAGTACGGTATTAACACAAATCTGCTAACTTTTTGAAAAGTAACTATACTTCTAATGTTCTGATTAAATGCAGTCTAGTGTGGTATATTAATGAAATTTAAAAAAATTATGTATATTTATAAAAAAATGATAAATAAATATATTTTAAAAAAGATATAGACATTTATGTTTAGAATTTTTATAATTACATGCAAAAACTAAAGGAGTTGAATTGGCTATTAGAATATTATGAATCAGTTTGATTAGGCAAGAAATCACATGCTTATTTCTTTTATTATGAATAAAGATTAAAATGTCAAATCATGAAATTATTGTAATTGAGATTTTAATTCTCTTAAGTTATTATTATCATAATAAATTTTTATTAATATACTTAATTGTAATATTTTAGCTCCTCTCACAATTGAAGAAGACCATCTCTCTCCTCAACACAGTCAAATGATTGAAAGTGCTTTCTATGGTTCTTACTCTCCTGACAATGTAGATATATCACTAACTTCAGTTGCACCAATCAGTGCTGGGTAAATATTTCATACACTTAAAATAATAAGCATATTATTGTATTAGTTATAAGTATAGATTCTATTATTTATGTTGGCAGAACCTGATTCCTTTGTAGTAATTAGGAAATTCAAAATCAATGGAAGTCTGTTCAGATTTTTTAGAACAAAGTATGAAAGTTTAGAGTTAAAAATTGCTTAGAGTAATAAGTTTTATTAAAAACCAATTTAACATTGTTACATCTCCTTTTGGAGCAAACAGTTTATCATTTTAAAAAAATTTTCATCTAAATACTGTAACGTTTTGAAGATGAAATTTATATTGATTTAATATTAAATATATGAGGATAATGAAAATATTTTCTTGCATAATTGTTTACAATTTTGTAATCAGAACTATTTATATTATTACATTAAGTACTAACTAACTTTTTACCATTACTGCTGGTTTTTGGTTTTTGTGATCTAATAAGATGTACATACCTTGTATGTGAACAGTATGTGTTAACAATTTCATAGTGACTTGATTCAGTGACTATTTTGTTGAAAGAAAAACTAAAGATTCTGCCACTTTATATAATTTGTTGTAATTTTACATAGTGATATAAATGAATCTCAGATACTAGTTCTTAATTTTCAATTATTGCTAAGAAAATGTATGGGTATAAACAATTTATTACAAAAGTAATAACAAAAGATACATATTTAAATTTTATGATAATATAAAATTTATGGAAATTCATCTTTAAAATTTATCTTTATGAAAAATTCACTTTTTGATAAAAGGTAGTCACCACAATTATTAATTTATGATACTTAACCTAACCCAATTCATTGGTAAGAATCTGTTGTCCTGTTTTGTATCCTTCACTTATTTTAAAAATTAGTCAAATTTAAACAAATTTATTTTAACACAAATTTGGCTAACAAAACTTTCTAATTTTCATCCATTTATATTGAATAGTTTTATTATATTGTAATTTTTACTTTTAAGAAAGATTTTATTTGTTCAAAATTTAAGACTTAATTCATAAAAGGAATGATAATTCTTCTATTATCATCATTATGATTGAAACTCTGCATTGTGATAGTATAAATCAGATAAAATTTAATTAGAAAATCGTAATAGCATAATAATGATCATTTTAAAAATGTCCTAACTAAATAATATATATTTACTTAATTTACATTAAGCAATTAGTTATCTGAGCCCTATAAATAGCTCTTTTTAAATACTTAATGTTCATCAGTTTCTAAGTGAGTTCTCAATAGTGTGTGATAAGTCCTAAAAAGAGCTATTTATCATGCTCAGATAATTAATAATAGTAGGAGAAAAAGCATAATATTAATTACATTAATTATGTAATATTAACTAATGTAATTTCATTAGTTGCTTAATTACATTAAGCATCTAAATTTTAATATTAAACAGTTGCATTTGCTGGTTTGCTTGGAAAAAAATGATGAATTGTTAAAAGCATTTGAAGAACAGACTTTCTTTTAAGCTTTAAAATTGTATTTTGAAATGCATGCATAATCAATAAATTAACTGATATTAATTTATAAAATGATATTTTCTTACTACAAATAATTTAAAGTTCTGTTTTTAACAAAACATTTCTCTTTTTTTTAATTGCATGGATACTTTCAGCCGATTAAAGTGGAAGACGTAAGTACATCATGTTAATTTTCCAATAGCTTTATGTTTCCGCAATTAATTAGTATAACTTTAATATTGTTGCCTTAAGCAATGACGTAGATACTTAATTTTTAATGTTTAGCAGATACATACTATTATAAAATGTGAAATTTTCTATCATATTTTGGCACAAGATGCTATTACTAAACTGTGGTCGGGTACCAGTTCTTCATGTCAAAATTTCAAAAGTTTTGAGAATGTAATATTTTGGAATCATAAATATGCAAATATCTAAGTTGTAATCTTAAGGAAACTACTGTACAGTTCATTAGTTTTTAATAATAATCTTTAAAAGAAATCATATCATCATTGATAGTAGATATTATAAAAAGAAATTAAAGCACTGAAGTTATTTAGATTGAATGAATGTTAAAAAAATAATTTATTGCTTAATTTTAATAATTATTACTTAAAAACATATTGTTTAATGTAATTTTCACATTTAACAATATTTGATTAAATAAAAGAAAAACATAATTATATTCTTTAGTATTATGAAACTAATATCTTATGAGTTGTATCAGTAACATAAAGTTGTGAAAATGTGAATAAGTACAGTTTACTAAAATGAGAACATATTCTATTTGTGTTTGATTTCCTCAACTAACAGGTAATAAAATGAAATAATTTAGTTTAGAAGAAACACAAAAATTAAAGTATCAAATGAAATTTTTAGTTATGGTCATAAGTTTTAGGAAAATATTCAATTTCCACATTTAACTGATTATTCAAGTCAATGTGGATTGATTAAAATAAAAATAAATTTTAATATCAATTAAATAAATTTATTTTTGTATAGTTTCAATATCCTTTGTGTAATAAACAGAAAATACCAACATTTATTATCTTTATAAAATAATACATATCTAAGTAATTTCAATCCACCCGAATAATTTTTTGTGTATGTAATTTCATGGATTGTGGACCTGTGTCTTAACTATTAACGATAATACTGAAGGCTTGATATCTAATAGCAATGGAAGGCTTATGCTGCATATTTAACTTATACCACACACAAATTTATTGGATGTTAGTCTTCTGGGTGCTTACGGGCAGTTTGATGTTTGAATATGCAACTGAAACTTTCTGTTGCTATTGGAGACCAAACCTTAGATTTTATTGAAAGTAGTTAAAACTCAGGCTCATATTGGAATATATAATATATGATACTTCCATTAATACATTATATTATAAGGACCTTGAATAAGTTCTCGCTGTTTTCCAACAGATGGCGTTACCAGAACCACGTGTGTTTATTTTTAGATGGTGACGCATCTGTAAGGAAGTATAATAAGTGACCTTGAAATTCAGTATATGTCATTTCACCAAAGTGTAAACAACTTATTTTTTCATTGTGTTAAACTTATTATTATCATAATAAATTTTTATTAATATACTTAATTGTAATATTTTAGCTCCTCTCACAATTGAAGAAGACCATCTCTCTCCTCAACACAGTCAAATGATTGAAAGTGCTTTCTATGGTTCTTACTCTCCTGACAATGTAGATATATCACTAACTTCAGTTGCACCAATCAGTGCTGGGTAAATATTTCATACACTTAAAATAATAAGCATATTATTGTATTAGTTATAAGTATAGATTCTATTATTTATGTTGGCAGAACCTGATTCCTTTGTAGTAATTAGGAAATTCAAAATCAATGGAAGTCTGTTCAGATTTTTTAGAACAAAGTATGAAAGTTTAGAGTTAAAAATTGCTTAGAGTAATAAGTTTTATTAAAAACCAATTTAACATTGTTACATCTCCTTTTGGAGCAAACAGTTTATCATTTTAAAAAAATTTTCATCTAAATACTGTAACGTTTTGAAGATGAAATTTATATTGATTTAATATTAAATATATGAGGATAATGAAAATATTTTCTTGCATAATTGTTTACAATTTTGTAATCAGAACTATTTATATTATTACATTAAGTACTAACTAACTTTTTACCATTACTGCTGGTTTTTGGTTTTTGTGATCTAATAAGATGTACATACCTTGTATGTGAACAGTATGTGTTAACAATTTCATAGTGACTTGATTCAGTGACTATTTTGTTGAAAGAAAAACTAAAGATTCTGCCACTTTATATAATTTGTTGTAATTTTACATAGTGATATAAATGAATCTCAGATACTAGTTCTTAATTTTCAATTATTGCTAAGAAAATGTATGGGTATAAACAATTTATTACAAAAGTAATAACAAAAGATACATATTTAAATTTTATGATAATATAAAATTTATGGAAATTCATCTTTAAAATTTATCTTTATGAAAAATTCACTTTTTGATAAAAGGTAGTCACCACAATTATTAATTTATGATACTTAACCTAACCCAATTCATTGGTAAGAATCTGTTGTCCTGTTTTGTATCCTTCACTTATTTTAAAAATTAGTCAAATTTAAACAAATTTATTTTAACACAAATTTGGCTAACAAAACTTTCTAATTTTCATCCATTTATATTGAATAGTTTTATTATATTGTAATTTTTACTTTTAAGAAAGATTTTATTTGTTCAAAATTTAAGACTTAATTCATAAAAGGAATGATAATTCTTCTATTATCATCATTATGATTGAAACTCTGCATTGTGATAGTATAAATCAGATAAAATTTAATTAGAAAATCGTAATAGCATAATAATGATCATTTTAAAAATGTCCTAACTAAATAATATATATTTACTTAATTTACATTAAGCAATTAGTTATCTGAGCCCTATAAATAGCTCTTTTTAAATACTTAATGTTCATCAGTTTCTAAGTGAGTTCTCAATAGTGTGTGATAAGTCCTAAAAAGAGCTATTTATCATGCTCAGATAATTAATAATAGTAGGAGAAAAAGCATAATATTAATTACATTAATTATGTAATATTAACTAATGTAATTTCATTAGTTGCTTAATTACATTAAGCATCTAAATTTTAATATTAAACAGTTGCATTTGCTGGTTTGCTTGGAAAAAAATGATGAATTGTTAAAAGCATTTGAAGAACAGACTTTCTTTTAAGCTTTAAAATTGTATTTTGAAATGCATGCATAATCAATAAATTAACTGATATTAATTTATAAAATAATATTTTCTTACTACAAATAATTTAAAGTTCTGTTTTTAACAAAACATTTCTCTTTTTTTTAATTGCATGGATACTTTCAGCCGATTAAAGTGGAAGACGTAAGTACATCATGTTAATTTTCCAATAGCTTTATGTTTCCGCAATTAATTAGTATAACTTTAATATTGTTGCCTTAAGCAATGACGTAGATACTTAATTTTTAATGTTTAGCAGATACATACTATTAT